TTTCTTGTGCCACAAAATTCACCTCATGCCAAAAGCCATCATTCAGTCGGTACCCTGGACAAGAAAGGACGATGATGTGGGTGGAGGGAAGCAGCAACTAGGGTAGGAGAACGTCTTGAGTGGGGAGCCTATGTGACCCCATGTATGCTTCCCACACTGAGTGATGGCATCTCTGCATGTCTCTCTTCACTATCCATGACCCAGCAGCTGACAGAGTCTGCAAAGTCATAAATTAATAACAAAATCTCCAGGGAGCCCCTGGAATTGGAGAATACCAGGACTTTCCCTCCTTTCGCTTCTCCCAGAACCCTCAGACACCTCAGACGGCCTCCTCAGCTGTCTCCAGCCACTCCTACCTCTCCCCTTACCCTGGGAATTCCTGGCCCACTCCCTTCACTCCCTCTGCACTCTCCAGCATGCAAAGGCCTCCCTGGGCTCCTCTACCCTCCTCTGGCCTCCCTGTGACTCCCTCACCAGCTGCAAACTGAAGTCTCTTGCGGCCGCTCTGCGCAATGGACACGTTGACCTGCCCTTCACTGAGCATCAGCTCCACGTGGCCCAGCCCGTCCCCAAGGCGGGAGAAAAGTAGCAGCCCAGTGAGGTCCCATGTGCGGAAGCGAAAGGAGACCGCCAGGCGGCCCCGGCGTGGGAAACCAGGCACTTGCACGAAGTTGTGAGGGCCTCCGAAGTTGATGGGGTGTGGAACTGGGTCCAGGCAGCGGAAGGCCACTTTACCCTAGGGACGAAAATGAGGACGCATCAGCACCCGTGAGCCGGTGCACCCATTTCTGCCTCTGCTGGAAATTCAATTTTCACACTGGTCTAAGACCCTTTTCCCGCACTCCTTCGGTGTTGGCAGGGGTGAGACCTCCAACCGTGACCCTTCCCCTCTAAGCCTGTCCATCTGTGGACCGAGGCCCAACCAAGTGGGCCCTCGGAACTCTCCCCTTGGGACTCTCACAACCGCTGCTCTACACCGTCTGCATGGCGCCTGCTTCCTTCTCTTCCTTCCAGTGTCAGGAGGGAATTTCGGGCCACAGATCTAGCTCCAGAGTTGAACCTGTGAGGGGAGCATACTAAAAGAACCCTGGGGCCAAGTTCCTACTCAGCCACTGTGCAACTAACCGCACAACCCCTGATCAAGCCACTCCTATCTCTGCACCTCATTTTCCTCCTGTATAAACTAAGGAGGTGATTGGATCTGACCACAGCTTCTTAGCTAGTTGAACCTCAAGTGAGACCCTCCACTTGAGAATGTGGCTGGAGAGAGAGGGGTCCCAGCCTTATATCTGAGTCTCAACATCTCTTCCTGCTCCACCCCTTTGCTTGCCAAGAGGCTTTGGTACCCTGCCCCCCTCCCAGACCCCCATGCCCACTGGCCTCGAAGGTGATCCGAGAATGGCGCCGCACAGCCAGGTCGGCGATGTTGACGCGGTTGAAGATTACGTTTTCCATACAGCCTCGGAAGTTATGCCGATAAGCCAGGTTCTTCTGCGCAGCGCCCACCAGACCCCCAACGAATATCTGCGGGAGGGTGGGGAACCAGGTTGATTTGGTATCAGGAGCACACTTGCCTTTCTCGTGGGTGCTGGCCATACTCTTTCCCAAGTACTAGGCCGGGCTTTCTGAAAGACTTGAAACACATATTCCCAGTGTCGGTCCTGCCTACGCCCACTCACCCAGCACCCCGCCTAACCAAATGGCACCTCTCCCGTCCCTCACTTCTGTGTCCAGGTTCAGCCTCTCAAAGTCGCCATTGAGCACAAAGCGCTGCACATAGCCGTCCAGGGTGAGATTTGCGTCGCGACCAAATCGGTCCACGCGCACGTAGTGCCAGTGCTGGTCGTTGAGGACACCGCCGGCGCTCACCGTAGTGTGACCCGGTCTTGGCTGAATGGGGCTGCTACCTGTGGGTGGAGCGGGACAGAGTGAGACCTCAAGCTTGGACATTTCCAGCTAGCCCTAGTCCCCAGGGGGAGCATCAGCGGGCAAGGCCGAGAGCCATTAGTGAGTGTGTGACTTAGGGTAAGCCATTTAACCTCTCCCAGCACCTGTTTTCCTGTCTGTAAAACTTGGAGCATGACAGCTGCTTCTATCTCATCACGGGCGTGTTATGAAAAGCTAATGAGAAAAAATGTGTGTGTGTGTGTGTGTGTGTGTGTGTGTGTGTGTGTGTGTGTGTTCACAATGAGCTTGCTGAGGCTCGGGAAATGCCTTGTCCAAGGTCACACCACTGGTAAGCGGTGTGAGACTGAGACTGGAAACCAGTTCTCCTGACTTGGAGTCCAGTGTTTTGCTAGCACCTCCGGCGGCGCGGAGGAGGTGCGTGGAGGCACGCGTAGGAGCGCCTCGCCGTGGCCCAGTCGCTCAGCTCACCCAGGCTCATGTGCAGCAGCAGGTGCGCCCCCTGCAGCTCGAGCGTCACGTAGTCGCCCTGGGCGCCCTCGGCGTGCAGCAGGAGCCCGTCCTTCTCCTCAGTCTTGAAGCTGAAGGCGAACACGTCCCACAGGCTTCGGCTGACCCCTCGCGGGAAGCGGTACGAGATGGCGTCGTCACCGTCAAAATAGAGTATGTCGGACTCTGTGCAAAAGACCTTACTTAGGTGGGCGGGGGGCGGGAGACTGTCCCGGGTCCCCGCCGTGATCTCCGCACCCTTACTGTAAGGGCAGCCGTAGAGGCCGAGCCTCAGGCCGATCTTGCCGCGCGGGTTCCAGGCCAGGGGCACGATGCGGACATAGCGAGCGGTGAAGTGGTAGTGCAGGTCGTGGCGCACCACCCCCGACTCATTCACGTTACCGAAGAAGGTCTGTGGGGGAAGGGGAGAATAGTAACCGAATAGTAACCACGTCCCCACCCTCTGCTTCGTTTCTCCACAGCATCCCAGCCTGCAGCTTTCACTCGGCCAATTTCGACTTCTGGAAAACAAACACTCCTGATCTCCCCTACCTCCGTGGCTTTGCACACACAGTTTCCCTGGCCTGGAGTGGCCTCTCCCAATACCTTATTTATCTCCTCAAACCTCAAATCAATGTCACCTCCTTAGGAAGCCCTCCCAGATTTTCCTCCAAAGTGTGCTAAACCCTGTGATCTGACAGTGTCTTGCACATGTGGTGACCTGACAGTCCCCCTGGACTGAGTTTCTAGAGTGGAGTCACTGCTCCTCATCTGCACCCTCACCGCCGCCCCCTCCCTTTCTCCTCAGGCTGGTGCCCAGCTCAGGGCCCAGCACAGGAGGCTCCCCAAGGATGCGATGCGCGCCTGGGCGCCCAGAGTACCGCGTTGTGCCCTCGCTGGTAGAACGGCGTCCAGCTGTCCACGCGGTCACCATAGAGCAGCATGTAACGTGTGACCCAGTCCCAAGAATTAAAGGAGCCCTGTGTGGCCACAGCCCGGATCCGGTGCTTCTTCATTAAGTCTATCTGGAGCCAGGGATTTGGATCCCCAATCCGAGGTGACCATCCACTTATGCCTATAGAAGGGGCAGAGGCTTTTTATCACCAGCTACCCCTTCACCCAACCCCCGCCCCCCGGGAATCCCTCATCCCACCACCCTACAGTGCGCTGCCGGTGGGTGGCGGAGCTCACCATGCAGCCGAGCAAATCGGGGCGCGGTGAAGAGCCCATAGTAGGAGGAGGCGCCCAGAGAGCGTGCATACAGGGGCCCCACCAGCTCCTCGTCGCAGCCGTCTGTAGTAGGAAAACGGACATGTTAGTTACTGCCGGCCCCTCCCAAGGCCCTTCCAAAAGCCAGCCCACTGAGCAGCAGTAGCCGAAGCTCCCCCTTCTCTGCCCCCCAGTGGCACACCCAGCCCTACCTTAAAGCCAGCTATTGAATCCTGGGTGCAGCAACAGCTGTGCGCTCAGAGGAAACTGCCTTCTCCTTCTAAGGTAACCCCTAGGCTACACCTACAGACCAAGGCCAGACCCTCCCTATCCCAGTAACTGTCCTGATTGAGTACTGCCCCAAACACAATTCCAAACCTCAGCACCTCCCAGAACCTGAGTCAGCCCAAGATACTTAACCCAGCTCAAACCTTAGCGTCATTCTCACTCATCAGCCCCCAAACCCACACCAACCCCAAATGCAAGCCTTGCTCCCAAACCCAGCCAGTCTTAGCACCATCACCAGTTCCATATTCAGCCTTAGCATCAATCAGGGTCACCAACTTCTGCTTGGACCCTAGCCACAAAACCCAACCCCAGCCACAAAACCCAGCCCCAGCTACACACCCTAGCTCTTGGCCAGCTCCAAAGTCCAGCCCCAGGCCCTGGCAAAACCTTAACCCTAGTCTTGGTCACCACTACGACTCTTCACCCCAACCCTATCCTCAAACTCAGGCACCAGCTCCCTTTTGGATCCCAGCCCCAAATCCCTGCCTACTCCATCCTCGCCTAGGAGCCCGGCCCCAGCCCCGGGCACGCGCGGCAGCCTCGGAGCTGCATTGCGGAGCGCGGGGGAGAAGCAGGAAAAGATGGGAGCGAGCGGGCGCGCGCCGGCCAGGAAGAACCCGCGACCACCCAGCCGCAATGCGGTTCGGGGCCGGCCTGGAGACTCTGGACGTCTGGACCCAACCCCACCTCCCTCCGAGCCCAGGACTCACAGTAGCCCCAGCCCCGGGCTCCGGAGACAGCAGCGAGCAGGATGCAGAAGAGCCGGAGACGCATCATGCAGGGCGGACAGTCCCCGGCAGCCGCCTCTCTGCGCCCGGCTCTGACTAGGGCTCCAGTTCTGGCTCCGGCTCCCAGCTCTCCTCCTGGGTTTTTCAGCAGACCGCTCTCTCCTCCTTACCCACCCCTCCCTTCCCTCTCTCCTTTCTCCCCCAACCCTACCCTCTCTCTCTCTCCTTCTCTCTCCCCCCCACCCCTGTCGTTCCTGGTGCTCTGCTCTTCTCTCTCTCTCCTCTCCTTTCCACCCTCTCTCCTCTCACCTCCCCCCTTCCCCAGCCTCTCTCTTCTGGCACGCGCCGTTTTCCCGGACCCCGCGCAAGCGCGCGCCTCAGCCCTGCTGCGAAAGGGCGGGGGTAGAGAGCCTGCAGCCACCGGGAAATACCCCGAGTAACCCGAGGCCCGCAGGGACTGGGGCCGCAGGGGTGAGGAAAGGGAGACAAGGACCAGACAGGTCCTGAAAAATCCAAGAAAAGGGAGGAGAGGAGGGGAGTGCCCCAAGATGGGATGTAGGATAAATAAAAGAATCTAATATTTTCTGAAGGCAAATTATACTGCAGGCATGGTGCTGGATACTCTCTTAACACTGTGAATTGAGCACCTTTACCTTACTCCACCTTGTAGATGAAAAACCTGAGGCTCAGAGAGGTCAAAAAACTTAATCAAGACCACGCAGCAAATGATGATGTTCCAAAAACCCACTCTTTTTCCACCGGCATGGTAAAGAGAAATTCTTTTAGGGGAGGTGGAATGGGAAAGTGAGCCCCACAGACCCAATCCCCACCTCTCGTGGCTGTCTCCCCACCCCTTCCTTCCTGTCCCACTAGTTGTTTAACTTCTGCCCCCTGCGGCTATACCTCAGAAACCTGTGTAGCCAGAGATGGGGACCGAGCCCACAGAACAGGTGGGAGTGGGGGCAGGGAGGGAGAGAAGGGTTACAGAGAGGGAGGGGATGAGAAGGGATGGGATTCCCCACCTGGTAACAGGCCTCCGCCATCCTATGACCTATGCAGGATTCCTGGAGCTGACTCAAACTAGGGTCCTCCGGATAGATGGGGCTGGTGGTGTGAGGCCAGGTTATGGGACAGGGACTGGGGCTAAAGGGAAGGGTGAGTTGAACCTAGAGGTCCAAGGTCCCAACTGAGCTCAGAAAACCTGAGCCCTGACCCTTGAGACCCCCTTGGCATGAGTGGTTTAGTGTGCTTTTACTAGAGGTAGCAGTGGGGGCGGAGGGAGGGGGAAGGGAAAGGAGACAAACAGAAACCCACTCCTGACCAAGCTTGGAACCCAGGACGAAGGACTGAGGCAAAGCATCCTTCCAGGAGAGGGTGCTGCAAAGGGACTTGAAGCTCTAAGATTTATTAATAATACAAAGGCTTGGCCTTTGGAGAGCACATGCCAAGTCCATTATCTTCCATATTTCAAACAATCTTCAAGCAAACCTTGCCAGGTGGGCTGGTCAGGATGTCTAATCTCAACATTACATATTAGGTAACTGAGGTCCAGAAGGAACAAGTGGCTTGCTCAAGGTCACCCAGGAAGCTAGAAGCAGAGGCAGGAGGGATGCAAGGGAAGCCAAGGTCCGCTGAGGCTGTGCTAGGAAGAATCTGTAGAAGAGTTTGTGTTCTCCCTGGTACTGTTATACCTGGTCATACAGGAGCTCCCAGCCTGGAAGGTATGTGTGGGAAGGGCAGGTATGTGGGAAGAGGGCTCATAAGGTGCTTCCTCTTGTTTTGACCTTCCCAGGTTTCCTGGGGTCTCTACTCTGGGGATGAGGAGGAGGCATACTCAGCTGAGCCGCTGCCAGAGCTCTGCTACAAGGCGGATGTCCAGGCCTTCAGTCGCGCTTTCCAACCCAGTGTCTCCCTGACTGTGGCTGCGCTGGGCCTGGCCGGCAATGGCCTAGTCCTGGCCACCCACCTGGCGGCCCGACGCGCAGCTCGCTCGCCCACCTCCGCCCACCTGCTCCAGTTGGCCCTGGCCGACCTCCTACTAGCACTGACCCTGCCCTTCGCAGCAGCAGGGGCTCTCCAGGGCTGGAGTCTGGGAAGTGCCACCTGCCGGGCCATCTCCAGCCTCTACTCGGCCTCCTTCCACGCCGGCTTCCTCTTTCTGGCCTGTATCAGCGCCGACCGCTACCTGGCCATCGCGCGAGCGCTCCCAGGCGGCCCGCGGCCCTCCACGCGCGGCCGTGCGCACTTGGTCTCAGTCATCGTGTGGCTGCTGTCGCTGCTTCTGGCGCTGCCTGCACTCCTCTTCAGCCGGGACGGGCAGCGGGAAGGCCAACGACGCTGTCGCCTCATTTTCCCCGAGGGCCTCACGCAGACGGTGAAGGGGGCGAGCGCCGTGGCGCAGGTGGTCCTGGGCTTCGCGCTGCCCCTGGGCGTAATGGCAGCCTGCTACGCGCTGTTGGGCCGCACGCTGTTGGCCGCCAGGGGGCCCGAGCGCCGGCGTGCGCTCCGCGTCGTGGTGGCCCTGGTGGCGGCCTTCGTGGTACTGCAACTGCCCTACAGTCTCGCCCTGCTGCTGGATACGGCAGATCTACTGGCTGCTCGCGAGCGGAGCTGCCCTGCCAGCAAGCGCAAGGATCTGGCTCTGCTGGTGACCAGTGGCTTGGCCCTCGCCCGCTGCGGCCTCAATCCCGTGCTCTACGCCTTTCTGGGCCTGCGCTTCCGCCAGGACCTGAGGAGGCTGCTCCGGGGCGGGGGCTGCAGCCCAGGCCCTCACCCCCGCGGCGGCTGCCCCCGCCGGCCCCGCCTTTCTTCCTGCTCCGCTCCCACTGAGACCCACAGTCTCTCCTGGGACAACTAGGGCTGCCAATCTAGAGGAGGGGGCGGACTGAGGAGACGATTCCAGGAGGGTACCGGGAAAGGGGAGTAGGTGGGGGGAAACTAAGAAAGAGGTAGAGACCTAAAGGGATTGCTTCTGTGCCTTGCCACATTAAATTGATAACATGGAAATGAGATGCAACTCAACAACTGTTACTATTTTTGAGTCACCGACTTGGAAGTGATTTGTTGCAGGGCAGAGCCGGTGGGTTAACCCCCCACCCCCAGGACCCGGCACACTGGCTCTGAGTGGAAGGCGCTGAGGGCCTGGGTGGGGGTGGGGGCTGCTAAGTCTGCTGAAGCTCTAGCCACTGACACTCCCTCAGTCTCTGGCAACAGAGGTGAGGTGGGAAAGCTGCCAGGCGAGGAGGGGCGGGGGTTCCTCTCGAAATAGCGTAAGGAAGAGCTTTCTAACAACCAGAGCGCTATCCAGTAATGGCTGCCTTGGCAAGCACTGAGTTCCCGGCTTCTGGAATGTTCAAACTGCTGGGGACTCTTGTGTGTCTTCATGTGGTGTGGGGGTAGGGGTAGGGCAGGAGATTCCCGTTTGGTGTGGCTGTTCGCATTAGATTACTTTACAATCCTTTCTAAGGTCCTGTGAAAGAAAGAAAAAAAAAGAAAAAAAGCCATTTAGAAAGTTGCGTTTTTCACTTTGGAGAAAAACCAGAGGGAATAGCACTTTGCAAATTTCCAAAAAGTAGGTATCATGGGCATGGTGGGGGTGGGAGATGTTTGCTGTTCTCCATCTTCTCTGGGGACTGGGTCAGAGGAAATGCACTGAGCTGGTCGGAAACAGAGAGGTTAGACATTGGAAAGAACTTCCCTGCAGGCAAGGGCCTGGGGTCCAGCCGGAGAAAAGTGCAGATGGTTGTGGTGGTGTCTCCATTCCTAAGAAATCTCTGCACAGGCCACTCTCATCCGGAGAGAGGGCACGGCTGAGATGGCCTCCAGAGACCGTCAGATTGATTCCTGGTCTTTGTTTTACACAGTCACAACGGGCAGGATAGTGTTCACGTGCGACAATTCTCGCAGTTTAATATCCGGTCAGCAAAGCTGTCCCCACGGCTCCAGCCAGGAGTCTAGGGGCTAGAAGGGCGGGGCGGGGCCACGAGGTCTCAAGGGAGGCGCTGCCTGACCGCCCCGCCCTGTCCCGCCCCGCCCAGCCCAGTCCGGGCTAGCAGTCCTTCCCAGAGCCTCGGGCGGCTGAGACCTAGAGCCACTGCCTCTAGGGGCTAGGATCCAGGGAAGGCCCGCGGACGGCGCCGATCCTCAAGGGTCCCGCACTGGGGGCCGACCTGGAACCCTCCACCAGAGACCGCGGGAATTGCCGCTGAGTCAGCAACGCGCGCGCGCGCCCACTGTCCCGGCGGCCCCGCCCGGGCCGCCTAGTGTCTGAGTTAACCCCTTCTTATACAGAACCGCAGGGTATTCGTCCTGGGAGGCCTCCGCTCTATTCGGAGCCCACAAAATTCCCTAGAATCCCAAGACACTCTCCCCACCTGAGTTCGGTGAGCTGTGCACTCCGAATTCGATTTTATTTCCAGCCCAGGTCTGCGCCTTCGCGGAGTCCCTTCCTCAACTTCTTTACTTCGAAAAGGAGGTGACTCAGACCTAGGAACTGGACTCCTTTGCCCCAGGGGTGGAGGGCCAGATCTGCGCTGTGTCCGGCGCAGATCTGGACATCCTCTGGGTAGCTAAGTCTCTTTGCTTCCTCAGGGACCCTGAGATGAGACAGGGTTCACAGGGCAGCAGTGGGGCTTTCTCTAAGCCCTGTGCCTTTGGTTCTCCAAAACTCCTCTAGAGGGTTTTTAATTTGTTGGTCGGTGAGCCAAGAGTTAAAACAAGAGCATGAAGGCGGGCTTCCGTGACGTCACTAGCACCCCGTGTCCGACCTCAGACACTGGGGCGTGGTTAACATCGCACGGTCCTCTCCCTCCCTACTTCCCCGCCCCTCCCCGCTGTCACCAAGCCAGGGGCACATGATGCAACCCGCCGCGATTTCAGCTGTTTGATTGGTGGCCGCGCCCGGCGCCAGGCGCAGGGATTGGGCAGAGGAGGCTGTGACGAAACCTGGACCCTGCCTTGTAAAGAAGGGAGGAGAGAAAGAAGAGGGAAGGGGGGGCCTCCGGGAGGGAGGGGGCTGGGGAGGCGGGGTCCCAGCTCTGTGCTCGCGCCCCCAGCGCGCCAGTCTGGGGGCTGCAGGGAGCGCAGCGCGCGCGGCCCGGGCCCCGGTCACCGGACGCCCTACCGGACACGACCCTCCCTGGAGCTTGGACAACTGCCCACCTCGGACACTGCACCGGACACTGCCCCCCGCAGGGCTGGACACTAGGACGGACACTACTTCTCAGCTCCGGACATTACTCCCTCCTGTACCCCGGCCCTGGAAGCTTTTCCCCCTCCCCCTCTGGGGGCCCAGACACTGAGCCCCCCTCAGACTCTGGCTAGTGTCCCCTTGCACCCCAGGGTCGGACATTGCCTCCTGCTTGTGCCCCTCTCCTCCTTCCCTCCCACCTCATCTTCCCCTGCTCGGGTAAGAGCTGCGCCAGTTTCTCCGACCCCCTGCTGCTTGGCCGCTACTGCCCGCGCCCCCATCCCCCGGCTCCTCGCCCGGATGCCTCTCCCCGGGGGATTGTGGTGGCTCCTCTGCTGCCGTCGAGGCTTCACTCTTCTGCACCGGGACTACGGGGACGGCGAGCTTAGCGGAGACGGGGAGGAGGACGAGGACGAGGAGACCTTTGAGCTACGGACCCCGAGTCCAGCGGGCGGCGGGAGGGTAAGTCCCCGGGGGGTTTGGAGCCTCCTCTCATTCCCTCTCAGTATAACCAGCCCTCACGCCTGATCCTGCTCCAGACTCCAGCAAACGCCCCGTGCTTGGCGAACTGGGGACGTCGGGGAGGTGTTTGCCTGGGGTCCAAAGCCCCTGGAAGCTCAAGGAACAGCAGCCCTGCTCTGGATGCGCCTGTGGGCCTCGCGCCGCGCGCTGGGCGCTGTCCACCTGCTGGGGGCCCTGAGGCAGGGGAGGCGTCACGCGTGGCCCGACCTGGCCCTGCCTCTCCCTTCCCTGCCGGGCCCGCGTCCCATCCCGTCTCCTTCCGCCTCTGCCAGCGCCGAGGAATGTGGCGAGGCCGGCTGGGCGGCTCGAACTCCTGGGTTCCCTCCGCTCCCAATTCTTGAGCGCTGGGGCCAGATGCGGGAGTTCCTGCTGCGAGGACCTGGTCGAAGGGAAGAAGGCGTCCTAGCATTGGGGTCTGTGGTGGGGACCCCACCGAGAGGGAGCTGGGGGCCTTGGCTCTTTGAGGACCCCTCGTCATTACGCTGTCGCTCAGGACAGAACTCTTGGCCTTCCCTGGTGAGGCTCCTGGGAAATCCCTGAGGGGATGGTGAGGGACATTTGGTTGCCTGGTTTTGTCGAATCTCCCCGTGGAGAAACTGAGGCATGATTGGTGTGGGAGACCTCCATCCGCTAACATCCCCTTCCCCATGTCCCTGCACACAGACAACCAGGCTCCTGTGTGCTGTGGCCGGGGTCATGCTCCCATACCCCGCTCAGGGGTCTCCAGCAGGCGGTGGCTCAGTGCCCGGGTGGGGCGGGCTGCGCCAGCGCTGCCGCCGCCGCTGGGGCTCGGGCCAGCACCTGGCGGAGGCGGAGGGTGGATAAATATAGAGGGGGGGAGGGAGAGAAGCAAGAGACTGCGATTAGGGGAGTTGGTCAAGAGGGTGGTCAGTACCTGCCCCTATGGTGGTGTGGCTGAGAGCCTCGCACACACAGACCCTCCAGAAAAATAGGTGGATGTTCACCTAGGGAAGGTTCAGGACTAGACGTCCCCAAGCTTCCAGCCTGGGCAGGGTTGGCTCTGTCAACCAGGCCATTGCCTCCCTCATGCTCCACCTCCACCCCCCTCCCGGCAGCTTGGGGACAGGTGTCCCTGGCCCCCCTCCCCCACCTCCCCCTCCTGTCTCTAGCAGTCTGGGTGCAATATGAGGATGGCACAATTCCCGCCTGGCTAGCCTTCGGGTTGGGTTTGTGGCCTCTCTCAGACCCCAGTCTACAGTTGAAGTTGAGGGGGGAGGGGTAGTGGGGGAAGGGCAAAACTCGAACTACACCTGCCTCTAGAGTGTGTGCCATTCCTTGGCCAGGCCTGCCCTTCCTGAGCCCCAGCAAAGGGCAGGGTCTTTGCTCACCCTTGAGCCTCAGGGCTGTCTGTGGGACAATATAAGAAGCTCTTGGAGAAAGCTCTATATCCAAAGGGTTCCTCTTCCCTTCCTTCACTTCTGTGCCACCACCTGTCCTCCCCTGGCCAAGGAGGCAGAGTGGGTGGCGGGAAAATGAGGAGGGGGTGACTTCGAGGCTGCCAGAGCCAGAGGGACTTCATTCACCCCTTTGGTTTCAAAGATGGGGAAACTAAGGCTCAGAGAAGGGATGAGACTTGCCAAGGTTCCACAGTGAGTTAGTGGTGGGACTGGAATTAGAACCCGGTCTCCTGACTCCCTGCCCAGTGCTCTTTCCACCCTACACCACTCCTGATTGTATCTTCAAAGGGTAACGGAGACAAGGCGTGATCCTTGGCTTCTTCAATCCTGCTCTTTTGTAGAGCTTGTTCTACAGAGATCAGAGGGGTGAGCCAGCTGCTCCAGCCCGCTGGCCCCAATCATGACCCCACTCCTTGACTCCTTCCCTAATCCCCCCAGCAGCGCTGACCTGGGGGCAGAAGCCACGAATATTAGGCTTGGAGGCTCAGAACCTGAGGGCTTCCCTGCCTGTCTCCCCAGGTTCCCCTGGACGTGACGCTGACTCAGCCGGTGAGGAGCGCTCCCGTCTCCGACAGGTGAGCTACTATGGAGACCCCAGCAGGTTCCCGGGACCCCCATCCTTGCCGTCTTCCCTCACGCGGTTGTGCAATAAGGGAGAGGCCCTGTACCGGACGCTGTGGTTTGGCCGGGGTCCCGGGGGGCGGTCCGGCCGGGGGCGCGGGGAGAAAGGGGGGGTCCGGGCTATTTCTGGTGCGAGGTCAGAACGGCCTGGCGGTTCCCACAGCCGGGGGGAAGGGTGTCCAGCTTGGGAGCAGGCACCTCGAGCAGTCTGGGGAGCCCCTACTGAGGAGCCCCCTGGAGGCGGAGTGGAGTCTCTGCAGCCTCGCCC